TCTTTTGATTATAAGATAACATTTGATGAAGGTTTGGGAAAGTCAGTATGTGACAGTCCCTATATTCATAGATTGAATATATAGAGTCTTGGCTATTTTCACAAAAGCAAAAATAAGATTCGATATCTATTCATGATTTGTGAAACAAACTTTTGAAGCCAGGAGTTTAAGGGATGATTGCAATCCTGTGAAAAGGAAAAAGGAAAGGGAAGGGAAGGGAAGGGAAGGGAAGGGAATGAAGAAGGAAGGGAAAAATAACACAGGGAAACAATTTTAATCTGCTCATGTCGGCAACATTTTATTTGGAATCAGGAACAACCCTGAGAAACCCCCCGTTGCAGTCTCTATTAGACTTTGCACTGAGTGCAACAGGTAGCACAGTAAGAAGACCCTCAGTTGGATTATGTTTTTAACACTGAGAGTTACAGGGGAAAATCCAGAATGCATATAGACAAGTTTTTAAAGATATAATAAAGGGATACCTTGGTTTCTGAGTTGAAGATCATCATGCACTTTTTACTTGTTGAACATTAAGGTTAGTGGTGCAGTATACCTGTGATTATAAAGTAAATTGAAATTGTGTTATTGCAGAAATTAAAGAAAAACAAAGAAAGGAAGGAAGGGGGGTTGAGGGAGGGAGGGAAAGAGGGAAGGAAGTATGGCCATCTTCTTAGAATTGTATATATGAAATACATGAAATCTATTCTCTTTATGTTTATAAAATTAAAAATAATTTAAAAATATGAACAACTACACCTGAACTGATTTATGTGAATCTGCTTTTAACATCTTCAAAATAATTTTTACACTCAGTGAAATGTACAGATTTCACATGTACTACTGAATGGATTTTGGTAACTATGGAAATCTGTTAAATCAGCTCCTAAAACAAGGCATAGGATATTTTAATTATCCTAGAAAGTTCTCTCATGCTCCCTTCCAGTCATTCTCCAGCCCTAAGTAACCATTATTTTAATTTCCATCATTATAAAATTTCAAATTGAACTTCAAACAAATGAAATCCCTTAGGAATTTTTGTATTGGAGATTCATCCTTATTTTTTGTTGTATATATGATTCCTTTTTTTATTGCATAGTATCCCATTACATAAAAAAAACACGATTTCCTTAAACATTTGCCTGCTGATGAATATTTGAGTTGTCTCCATATTTTCCCCTGTTTTTAATTTCTATTTAGCTCCTTACCTTGAGTAGTGGTCTCCAAATATTTTTGTCATATCATTAATTAATTAAATTTGTTTTATATATATGTAAAATATTATCATGAACCAATGTCTCAAGGCACACTATATATTTAGAATAAAATGTATTGGGTGGTTATTTAGTGGATGGATGTTCATATTTTAACAGTTTTATTTATATTTTAATTTTTGTTGATTTCCTGTCATATCTGACTGATGTTTCATTAATTCTGAAAACTGTGCCTGATATTCAAAATCAATGTGGCCATTGAGGTTTTCATACTAGGATTAACAATAATATAAGCTCTGGCTATTTTTCTTTTAATGGTACATTACTAGTATATCTTCACACCTTTGTTTAATTGAAGGGACTATTGTAAACTACTGACTCATTTTATATAGATTTAATTAGTTGAGAATGAACAATAATATTTGTAAATTAACTTGACTAAAATTGAGTAATGAAATCTATAAACACTTTCTGGTGCAAATGTAGACTGACATATACCAACAAAAATGAAAGAAAATGCAAAAAATAAAGATATAATAGAGGATTTTATGGTGGCTGAGTTGCATGCAGATCATCATGCACTTGAAAAATCCAAATGCATTGCAAATAATCAGATCCACAAAATTGACATTGTAAAGCAAATATTAAATAAAAGAGCAGTGACATTCTAAGTATCATGGGAAAATGCAATAAATGTTATGCATTATGTGAATTTGTTAGAGTCGACCGCCTGAAAAACGTCACCAAGAGACACGTCTCTTATGCAAACAGCAAGGGGAAGCTTTATTGATTATCCAGCATGCTGGGGCTGTCTGATCATACATGAGCAGAGCAGCCCCGAATAACCAAAGGTTAGGGTTTATAAAGGCAAAAACCGCAAAACCGGGAAGGGGGGAATACACGGTTGCTATGCACGGTTGCTATACACAGTTGCTAAGATCAAAAGAGAGTACATAAAATCAAAAGAGAATATATGGTTACTGGGGTCAACATAACCTAAAACCTAAGTGAAATTAATATTCATCATAATCTTGACAATACCAGTTACAATCTTACAATTAGCAATTAGGACTTGACATTAATGTAAGACACAGACAAATCACATCTTCATTATTAGCCCAGGTAACCCAGGTGCAACCTTTCTACTTTTAAGCTTGAGCAATCATGCTAGGGGTTTTTGTGCTCTGCCAAGGGTGATGTAGTACACTGCTATTGTCTGAATATTTGAGATCATAGTTTCAGACCAGAGTCTCACGGTGGGGGGGGGGGTTCCAGAATGGAGTCTCAAGTGCTCCAAAATGGAGTCCCTACTGTCAAGGTGCTACTTTACTTTGTCTTATTTTCACAGCTGTACCAGGAAGGTTTAAACCTGTAAGCTTAAGCTTAACTTTTTACACCTGCACATATACAATTTTAACTCTTCAAATTCTTGATTCTTTATATATCCTATATATGAATCCTTTATCAGTTGCATAGTTTGCAAACATTTTCTTCCATTTTGTCTGTTGCCTCTCCTCTTGTTGAGTATTTCCTTTGCAATGCAGAAGCTTCTTAACTTGATGTAGTCTCATTTGTCTACTTTTGCCATTATTGCCTGTGTTTCAGTGGTCTTTGCCTCTGCTAATGCCTTGCAGAGTTTCCCTGCTGTTTTCCTCTAGTAATTTGATGGGATTAGGTTGTAGATTTATGTCCTTGATTCATTGTGAGTTAATTTTTGTATATGTAAGATAAGGCTTTTGTTTTATACTTCTGCACATGTAGATCCAATTTTCTCAGCACAATTTTTTTTAAATTTATTTAACAGAGTAAGACAGAGAGAGAGAGAGAGAGAGAGAGAGGAAGGTCTTCCTTCCATTGGTTCACCCCCCAAATGGCCACAATGGGTAGAGCTATGCCGATCCAAAGCCAGGAGCCAGGTGCTTCCTCCCAGTCTCCCATGTGAGTGCAGGGGCCCAGGCACTTGGGCCATCCTCCACTGCCTTTCTGGGCCACAGCAGAGAGCTGGACTCGAAGAGGAGCAACTGGGACTAGAACCAGTGCCCATATGGGATGCCAGTGCTGCAGGCAGAGGATTAACCAAGTGAGCCACGGCACTGGTCCTACAATTTGTTGAAAAGACTGTTCTTCCTCTAGTGATGGATTTTAGCTTTTTTGTTAGAGATTAGTTGGTTATAGCTGTGTGGATTAATTTCTGAGGTTTCTATTCTATTCCATTTGTCTACATGTCTGTTATTGTGCCAGTACCAGGTTGTTTTGATTATAACTGCCCTGTAAAAAATGGGCAATGGACATGAATAGGCATTTTTCAAAGGCTGAAATATAAATGGCCAACAGACGCATGAAAAAATGCTCAGAGATCACTAGCTATCAGAGAAATGCAATAAGGTTTCACCTCACTCAAGTTAGAATGATTATCATCCCCCAAATAAAAAAAATAATATATGCTTGCCAGGATGTGGGGAAAAAGATACCCTAATACACTGTTGGTGGGAATGTAAACTAGTACAACCATTATGGAAGACAGTATAGAGATTCCTCAGAAATCTGAAAATAGATCTACCATATGACCCAGCCATCAGACTCCTGGCAATTTACCCAAATGAAATAAAATCAGCATATGAAAGAGGTATCCCCATGTTGCAGCTCAATTCACGATAGTTAAGATATGGAATCCACCCAGAGGCCCATTGGCTGATGATTGCATAAAGAAAACGTGGTATACACTACAGTATAGAATCCTATTGAGCCATAAAAAAGAATGAAATGCTGTCTTTGGTAACAAAATGAATCTAACTGTTATTCATTATGCTTAATGAAATAAGTCCAAAAAGCCAGTCCAAAAAAGACAAATACATGTTTTCTGATAGGAGATTGCTAAGGTGGAATACAAAAATGTACAGGGATGAAATGGACATCTTGTGATTTGATTGTTGTTTTTGGCCCTTTTTATATTCCTGTGGAACTGTGTTCTTTCTATTTTCTGCTTCTTGAATGTTATGGTTAGTGGTACATTAAACCTGTGGTTATGGAATGGATTTAAATCATGTTTTTGCAAAAATTGAAGAAAAAGGAAAGGAAGGAAGGAGGGGAGAAAGGAAGGAAGGAAGGAAAAAGGGAGGAAGTATAGTTATCTTAAAATTGTACCTATAAAATACATTAAAATATATTCTCTTTATACTAATAAAAATTTTAGTGTATGTGCTGCTGAAACGAGCACAGTAATAAAAATTTAAAAAGATGTCAGTTAATCCAAATGGAAAGATTAAGACTGTGAAGACCCACAAAAAAAGAGAGATATTTCCAGTCTGTGGTCCTGAAGGCTGGCTATCTTACCAAGAGCCAGTTGCCAGCAATCTGGTACATAGATTCCGAGAAAACACACCCAGAATTCATGGCAATTGGTATTTCAGGGAACTTGACATGCAGACCCTAGCGGGTGTGTGTATGGGCGGGAGGCAGGGCAAAAGGCAAAGAATTGTGATGATGAGATAGGCGATGATCAGGAAGTCATAGAAACTGTATATACTAGACATTAAGAGAGTGAGATTTTGGCATATTGTGCCTGAGGAACAGGCACATCCATGTGTACAACAGAGCAGGGAGCTCAAAATGCGAGAGTCACAACTATGTATCCAGACGTCGATGACATCGACAAATTTCCTGTCAGGGACAGAATCTTCCCTAAGTGAGAAGCTCCACCAAGGAATATGGGCGGACGCAAGAACACGTGCTGTTTAAATGAAAATTAGTGAAGGAATTTAACATGATTTCCACATGCATTCACTCAAGATGGTTCACAGCCGAAGACGGGAGCGTAACCTGGGCAAGAAAGGTGCCTCAAGAGCTGCTGGTGGGACCAGTAGAGGTCACGTGGTGCCAAAGGGCGTGGCCCGGCAGTTCGTGTGCAGCGCCGGATCTGGAAGCTCATTGGTCGCCAGCCACTGGGTGGGGTGAGACTATACTCAAAGCTTATTGGTCCGTGTGGGAAGCGCGGGAAGGGGAGCTAGAGGGAGCCAGAGGGCGCGTCAACCAGGAACGAATTACCTCAGGACTTTTGTCCCACCTGACTAACTCTAAGCTGTTTGATTCTGGGTAACCGCAGGAGGGCGTCAGGAATTTGACCCACCTTCCCCATGCCTATTTCTCCCTCCGTTCCTGTTGCTCTGAACCCCTAATACTTTCCCTGTATTCATCTAGGCGGGGTCCCTCTCACGGTCCTGAGAGCCAACCCCACTCATATCGTCATGAGTAACCCCTTCTGGGAGGACCCTTTTCCCCAGTACCTTGTTGATAGCTCTGTGTCCATGGCTATGGTTCTGAGGTTGGGAGAAGGGAAAGATTGTGCTCCTTGAGGACATGGGGTGGGGCGGGTGGTGGGAGCCAGCAGTGAAAGCTCCATTTCTCATGCGCAGATAGGAGTATAGAAGAGAGTAGGAAGGCTGTGGAGACAGCACATGGGCTTGTGTGAGAGCAGAGAGGATGTGTGGGTCCAAGAGGAAAACTGGCGTGCTGAGGAGATAGATGCCTAGTGGCAATGACAGCGTCTGGCTCCTTTGTCAACGCAAGTAATACCTGTTGAGTGGGGAAATACATGGAGTGACTGAGGGGATGAAAGATGATAGTAATAATGGAAATAGGACCAGGGATCCTTGAGTACAGTAAGAAATTCTGGGGTGTTAGAGGGTAAGTAGTTTAAAGGGGGAGCAAGTGAATAATTAAGATTAATCTGGAGTTCAAGAAAAAATCAAAATGATTGGTGGGGGGAAGGTGAATACAGGACATACTTGAGACTATAACAGAATCCAGCTCAAGGGGCATAAACCCATTTGTGGGGAGTATATGAATGCAGGAGCTTAGGAAGACCATTGTCGAGGTGGATGTCAGGAAGGGTCATTGAATTTGGCAGCAGAATACAGGGAGATCCATCAGAAGAGGTGGTGATGGAGAGTAGTGATTGTTGAAGGAGGCTAGGAGTGCATATGTGTGCCCAAAAGGGAAATTCATTTATGGTGGGTTAAGAAGAGTAAGGAGGACAAAGAACAGATCACATATGTATATTGGACCCATGCCAAGAGGTTCAGGAGAGGAGTGTATGAATGAGTGGAGATCTCTGGGAAGCAGGCTTCAGGAGCAAGGGGATTAGGGAGAAAGTTGCACAAAGCCATGGGAGAAAAAGGGAGGGGGAGCTCAGATAGGAGTGGTGAGCAGGAGGATGTAGAATCCAGCCATCTTGGACAGGGTTTTAGAAAGGCAGAGGAAGAACAGTGGGGGTAGACATCATGTGGCCATTCTGACCTCTGCTCCTGACCCTAGAAACATGGAACCCCAAGAAATATCTGCTGTGCCCAGCTGCCCCTCCAACTTCAAAAGCACCACAGTGCGTGAGACTGGAACCCCATGTGGGCTTGAACGTGGCCCCAGAAGAGCTGTAGGTCTCTGTGACCGCTGTTACAACCATGGCATCACTACCCAAATCATGGGCCAGGAGCATAACTGCCACTTCCAGGCCTGCCAGTGTCACAATTGTGTCATCATCTCGTGAGTATGGTGTCTGATAAGGGGAGGGGTCAAGTTTCTTCTAAATGCGACTAATCTTAGATCTTCAATCTCTTACTTTAGGGAACCCTGCAAGGTCTTGCCTACTATGACTACCCGGAAGAGAGAGCAGGGGACACAGATAAAGAAACACCAGGCTCTAGGGCTGATGAAGAATACGGCTATTGCTCCTAGGGCTCCCCTCTATGTCAAGAATATGGCCACAGGAGCAGGAGTCAATAGTGAGTGTCTGGTGAAGAAATGGGTCTGAGTTAGGGTGGAAGAAACATGAATAGTTCTGTCACTAGTCCAGTTACTGAACTGTGGAGAGTCCTTGGGCAATTTACTGGTTGGCTCTTAGCTTGCCCAAGAATAAACAGTCAACAGTGTTTCCAACGAAGTGTTTGTAGGAAGGAAAGATGTGGGGATCTGGTGGCGGGGGGGAGGAGGTCCACTTGGAGATGAGAACTCAATTTGGAGCTGTGATAGAGAGAAGTGGGGTCGATGGGGTGAGGGGTGTAAGGGGAGGCTCACCAAAGTGGTCTCTTGTCTTTCACAGCTGGGAAGGTGAACATCATGCCCCAGCCACAGGCCTACCCTTGCTACATCCCCAATCTGGTAAGCAGAGTCTGTTCCCAGTTGGGGAGGCTCCCATTCATCCACTGCCTGCACCCTTTTCACTGTGTTCCAAAGACATGGGTTCCACCTCCAACCCTACCGCATCCTATCCTTGTGACCATGGGCAAAACTGCTTCTTTCAAGGGCCCAATTTCCCCTGTTGCAAAAGGCAAGATCTTGAAGGTCTTCAGAGCTCTGAGGTCATGGGTCTTGTATTTATCCCCAAACATGCACACTCCTCCTGTCATGGCCAACCCCACACCTGACTGCAGCTTATGCTTTATAACCCTACAGGGGACACCCCCAAGTGTGTTTCTGTTCAGCCAGACCCCAGAACCTACATTTCTGCCTTGCACTCCAGTGATCACGGAGCCTCAACTGGTATTTGCTATTTCTGGACAGCCCCAAGGGGCCCCTATGTTGCCTGCCACGTGAGTAGAGTACCAGTCACTAGCTGGTTGTGTGTTTTTTTTTTAAAGATTCATTTATTTATTTGAAAATCTGAGTTACACAGAGAGAGGAGAGGCAGAGAGAGAGAGGTCTTCCATCTGCTGGTTCACTCCCCAATTGGCTACAATGGCCAGAGCTGTGCCGATTTGAAGCCAGGAGCCATGAGCTTCTTCCTAGTCTCTCACGTGGGTACAGGGGCCCAAGGACTTGAGCCATCTTGTACTGCTTTCCCAGGCCATAGCAGAGAGCTGGACAGGAAGTGGAGCAGCCAAGTCTCGAACCGGCACCCATATGGGATGCCGGCGCTTCAGGCGAGGGTGTTAACATGTTGCACCATAGCACCAGCTCCAGAGCTGGTTGTGTTTTATGCTGTCATTATCCCAACGTTGTGCTTGGTGCCACAGGTTAGGAGGAAGCAGAGGAGGAAAATCAAAAGAAGGAAGAAAAATAAGAGGTGAAGGTCAAAGAGAAGGTGGAATCTGAGACTAACTTGCAAAAACAGGCCTTCCCCAGCTTTATCTTTACGTATTTGTGTGACCTTGAGCCAGAAACTTTATGTGTCCCAGCCTCTGTTTCCCAACCTGTGTTCTGGGGACAATAATTTTATACATAGGGCATTGAAAAGAGGACTAGCAAAGGCCTGTTGTATAGTTGACTTTCAGCAATCAGAGAAATTGTTCCACATGAATCACATGGACAGACTAGAAGGCCCATGCTGTAAAGACATATCATGATGGGGTGAGCCATTGAAGGCATTGGGAAACCCTGGGGCATTTTATCAATATTTATTTGGGTGAGGCAAGCTTCTCCTTCAAGGTCCATGGGTATCAGGCAACATGGAGATGAGAACCAGTCCTTGAATAGGGATGACAATAACATCTCTCCAAGGGCTTTGCAAATTAAAACATGGCCACCTGTGCTTTCCCATCATCTTCCCTGAGGGCCATAGGGAGAAAGGCTGGCAGCAGTTAGAGTCTCAGGATACATATGCAAAAGAGGTGTGGAACCATAAACAGATGGAACAGGAAGAGAGACTTGCTCAAGCCACAACAATATGGTCCCATGGGCCTTTGGATTGCAGACAAGAAACTCTGCCCCACTTTCTGTGTACTGATGCTATGTGTCTGCCAGAGGGTTTAATCCCCTGGCCTCTCCTCTCCTTGTTTGCAGATGCTCAAGACTGATCCTTCAGCCTTGTGCCACCCTTGACCCTCGTCTACTGCAGCCACAGGTTCTGGGGAAGGTGTGGGGTCCAGAAACCTGGTGTGGGCTGAGCTTACGTGACGTGGGCAGGAGCAGGTTGGGGGGTGGTTGAAGGGAATATGGGTGTGAAGGGACACTTGTCTCATTGGGAGGAGGTGTGGCTTTCCAGCACTGTTCTCTGATGGCCTTTCTTTCCAGGTCCAGAAAGGCTCTGAGCAAGATGTGGTTGCTGCCTCCGAGTGTCAGCGGAAGCTGGAGGCTGCTGAGGCACTGTTGGCTCTGAAATACTCTCGCCCAGTGCCAACTGACTCCACCACTCTGGCCCAGCCCTGTGGCCCTCCAGGTAGCAGGCCCTTGAAAGGGCACCCCAAAGGTGGGGATAGTTGGGAGAGAGCAATAGGTGGGTTGAGGTGAGCAGGAATCAGCAGTTTCTAACTGGGAAATCAGGTTCAGTGGGTTGACTTTCCTTGGTTCTGGGTATATGGCTCCTCAGTGTGATCCCTGATATGGTACCTGAGCGTTGCCCAGTGGACTTTGAGAATGTCAAGCTTTGTGTTCTGTGATGCGTTCTGTGTCCTGAAGTCAAGCAACAAGGAAACTGAGCCTCTGAGAGAGGCAGGTACTTGCTCTATTACATGTGCATAACAAGTGGGAGAACCAGGTTCTTGATCTCAGTGCAGTGCTCTGTCCTCAGACAACTGTGGTCTGCTGTCGCCAGGGCAGGACACAGGAAAGTGCAAAGAGCTTGATCTAGAAGTCCTTTTACCTGGCTTCTGCATCTTTTGTCCAGTCTCGATGTGGAGCTTGGCTGCCTTCCCACACTGTGTTGTGCAACAAAACCTCAATGATTTTTCCAAAGAAGATGGGTTGTAGGAGCTCTGAGTGGGAGAAACACCTGGTGAGGCTAAGGAGCAGGGCTGTGTCCCCTCACATGAGCCTGGTGGATGGGGCCCAGTGTGTGAGTGAAGCAACAGGTCTGAAGAAACTGCTGGAAAGGAAGGGAACAGTCCACACAGGTTACCAATCAAGGAGTGGGATGCCCGACCAGCAAGTGCACGTGCTGAGGAGCCAGGGATTGTTTTCAAGTTAGGGAGAGGCATATTCCAACACCCAAGGCTTAGCAAAAAGACATGGTATCTATCTTTGGAGGGTTTAGGTAGACGACTGAGATGATGGAAATAGAGGTAAAGAGTTCCAAGGCTTGTGCAATCATTGCAGTGAAAAATCTGTGAGGGGCCTGGAAAACACACAGGGGAAATCTGGCAGGGTTATGGATGTGACCTGGTTCTGAATCTGTCCTTTCTGTCTTCAGCTCCTGCTGGAGATAAAACACACCAGACTCCTGGTTCTGCTCTGCACCCCAGGCCTACTACCTCCATCTCACTGCCTATTGGATATATAGGTTGCATCTCTCTCTTGAGATAAGAGCCCAGAGGACAGCACATGTCTAAGGCACTGCTTATTTGATATCCTGTTTCTGAGTTACAGAATGGTTAGAGTTAACTGCTGAATTTTTAGAGCAGTAGGATGTTTTATAAGTTTGCAGACCCTTTTTATTATGTGATGCAATTCCCTGGTTGAGATTGAACACTCTTACTCCTTTAGATACTTGAATTCATTTTTGTTTCTTATTAACAATAGAAACGTTTACCCTAAAAAGATAAATATGTTATTGGAGTTCACAATGAATTTGTATGTAAGCCTGTTTATTTTTCTTGTAAGTGGGGACATACCCTGTTTAATCACATCTGTATTCATTCATGCATAAACATTATTCTGCCTTTATGCCTATTTTTTGTATGTGTGCAGATAATAAACTCTTGTTGTAAGGCATGGAAAGTATGGGTCTTTGTTACTGCACCAGAAAAGAGATGATTCTGACTGTTACACACTTGTTCAACCCATGATTCACAATGAGTATCACCTTCCCCAATAAGTGGAATTTCTTAACAAGGCAAGATAAGAAGGTGATAGAGTAAAAAGTTGGGGCATTTATTCACTGAGCAATCGACAGACTTGTCCTACTGGTGTAGCTTGTTTCTAGTTGTCCAGAGGGCTGGGGGAATGGCAATGATCACAGGATTAAGCAGATCATGTTTAAGCAGGTCCTACTTGATATGGACAACTCCTAGTACATGTTGTCCTTAAAACGGCAGCTACTGCTCTGCTCAAGCCATTTGCTGTCATGGAGTAATGTGGGAACATTTTTAACAATGCGGATTTGACAAGAGAATAAGGAATTCTAGATTTTTATGTAAATTTACTCAATTTGTCAGTGTTAGGAAAATGGCACAGTGTTATCTATGGCGCAATCTACACCCTAGCACTATCTTAGGCTCTAGCCCCTGCTGCCATTGCTAGAAGCCAGGTGGCCAAATGGCCCAACCACCGATGTCAAGCTCCACCCCCATCCTAATGGGATTCACTGCTTCTGCTTCCCTGCCCGCCCTCTGACAAAGTTTTAAAAGGACCTGTTCCTGAACATGTGGCTCTCTCGGCTCCTCTCATCTTCTCTCCTCTCTTGCTCCCCTCTCTCGCTCGTCTTCTCTTCTCTCTCCTCCTCTCTTCTCGTCTTCTCTTCTCTCTCATCTCCTCTCTCTTGCTCTCTCTCCCTTTCTCCTTTCCTCTTCTCTCTCTCTCTCTTACTTTCTCTTTCTCCTTCTTTTCCCCTTCCCTCCAGCCTGCTGGGTTTTCTCCAATAAAACCTTTCCCTTACTCTGGTGTTTGGTGTGTTTTGTGGCCACCTTACATTGATGCCGAAACCCAGGACCTTACAGTCAGTGTTGGCAGAGGTTTCTTCTTTCGGCGCTGTATGTGAATGAAAGCTAACAGTATAAACCATCTCTGGCTAATGGCATGCTGGTTTAATTCAGGTCCAAAGTGAATTGTCCGATAGGGTCACTGGGACGATTCAGGACAACAAGAATCAAAGAGGGAGAGTGAGATCCACCCAGCTCCTACTTTGAATCACTCATGCAGTAAGAGGAAGTGTTGCTGTCTTTGATATAGTCTATGCCCACTCTATGCTAAGCACACATAGCCTCACAACACCCCCTGTGAACTATGGCTCATTCTTGCCATTCTAACTATAGGGAAGCACACTCAAAGAGTGAAAGTCACTTTCATTCATGGTTTCAGGAAAGCTTTTTGTCCAAGATCAGGAAAAATTCCTTTGTCTTTGCCATCCACTAATCAGCTATTAATAATTTTGCAGAATAAATTATAAAATGTTCAAACCTCAAGGCAGCAGACAAAAATCAGGAGATTTTTTCCCCCAAGGTTTGTGGGTCCTTTATTTCCTCTTAATCCTATGGATTTGTAATAATCATTCAGACCTTCCAGACCTATTCTTCTCAGTCTTCTGTTGGAGTTCTAAACATGCAAAGCAATAGAAACTTCCACCAGACAGCCAAAAAGCTCAATTGGAAACACGTGGGCATGCACTCATTCCTACAATGTAGCCCCTCTTCTACCTTCCCTCTCTCTCTCTTTATCCAAGATGATTGATGGTGATTATATCAAATTGCAACTTAAGCAGTCAGAGTTCTTATATCTTGTATCTGATGACAGAATTGCATAAACACAAATCACTCAGGACATGGAGCAAGGCTGAAGTCCAACTCACACTTTCCTTCTTTCCCCTGATTAGGTACCTTAATATAAGATCCCAAAACTGCCCCTCTTCCAGCAATACACAAACAAGTCCACATGATCTGAGGGAAAGGAACTAGGGACCTGGCAAAGAACTAAGACCCTGGTACAAAATTGTCTTGCAAATATTTGGGTGAATGAAGATGTGTATTTTGGTGAAAGGATGTGACATGAAATGAGAAAGCACAAAAGAAACAAAGTGATGCAGGTTGGGAAGAGAGAGAGGCCCTTTTCTCTGTTTCTTTTTGTTTGTAGGAGACCAAATATCTCCCTGCAGGGCTTTTCAGAC